TGCGGGCTGGATGGCTCTCACCCAGGCCCCCGGACGGTACTGGTGACCGGTCACCCCTTCCTGCCACGCAGGGTCAGGACCGGGCTGATTTCGGTGGGTGGCGGGTCTCTTCTCCCTGCCGACGCAACTGTGAATCTGTAGCTCTTTCTCAGATGAGCGGCTCTCTGGCTCCTCCAGGGAAATCACCCCCGTTTGCTTTTCCTTTAGGAAGTATTACTTAAGAGGGCGGCCGATCTGGTGGAAGCCTTATACGGGATGCCCCACAACAACCAGGTAGGCAGATGGCAGCTTGACGAGGCTGCCCCCTTCCCGGGGTGACCGTGTCCTCGGAGGGCCAGCTGGCCTGGGCCCACCTCGGGCTTTCGGGGCACACATGCGCCCGTTCGCAAGTACTCCCAGGGAGTCTGCGAGGAGAAAGGCTTCATCGTCCTCTCTCTGCCCTCGCACTAAGTACTCAAGTTGGAGATGACAAGTCAGTGTCAGGAAGGAAAAGCAGGAGAACTTGTCACAGGAAGGAGAACCACCTGGGAATCGGCCGGTGGATTCGGTGGTAGTTTGGCACAGCCCGGCTTGGGAGGGAAGGACGGGCACCCACAGCCCATCCTCATGCCACCCGGAGGTCTCTGGGGAGCAGACGTGAGGGCGTTCTAGAAACGGGCCGGCTTCTCTGACTCTGGGCGTGGTGCGTCCCCGGCTTCCGTGCACCCCTCGGGGGCCTGTGGGCTGTGGGTGCAGATCGAGCAGATGGCCGCTCACAGGCACCGTCACACCGTCTTCCTCAGGGAGCTGGATCTCCCATTACAGAATCAGTTGTGTCCCCGTCTGGACCAAGGGGCAGGGGAACGCCTCGTGGGGCAAGGCGGAGGGGGCCTGCGCTCCCCGGGGCGCGAGGGAGAGCTGGAGGCGACCGGGCCCTTCCCCTGCCGCCCTAGGAGATCATCCTGAAGCGAGCGGCTGACATTGCCGAGGCCTTGTACAGCGTGCCCCGCAACCACAACCAGATCCCCACCCTGGGCAACACCCCCGCGCACACGGGCATGATGGGCGTGAACTCCTTCAGCAGCCAGCTAGCCGTCAACGTGTCCGAGACCTCGCAGGCCAACGACCAAGGTACGGGCCGTGCCGGCGCCAGCCCCCTTCCCTGGACGCGCTCCCAGGGGCAGCTGAGACTCGGCCGCAGCCGCCCGGGTCCCGGGTCCCGCGGGAAAGGCGGGCCGCGCTCCGCTCCCCGCGGCCCTGCCTGGCGCGCGCGGGGCGGGGAGCGCTCGGAGAACCCAGAACTAATTTGTTGCCACGGTACCTGGCTGCCACTCGGGCGGGGTACTGGTTTTTGCCAGAAGTTTCTTTGAAAGGCTGGGAGGAGCCACAGGACGGCCGTGGGGTAGTAAGTGGACGGGACCCTTCTCGGATATGTCCCACGGGTGGGACTGGGAAGGCGTAAATGGAGAGGAGATCCCAGTCCCCCCAGCCCCACCTCCCCTCACCTCGGGTGCACCTGCTCCCGTCATGCGGTGACCTGGCAGCCGCAGGTCACGGGACCCTGTCCCGTGAGCCACTTCTGAGCAGATCTCAGTTGTCCTCCCTCCAGTCTGTGCCGGCAGTGGTCTCAGAGGAGGCCTGGGCCCGCCGCCGCCGCCCGGCTCCGGTTCGTGCGCCCTCCCGCGGCGGGCCCGACGCCACCGCGCCTCAGCCCTCCCCACACTCCCGAAGACCCCCAAGCAGCCCTTCCTGGGCAGTTACGGCCACAAACGAGCTCTCCCTGTCAGCCGTGGCATTTGAAGGTCCGAAAGTTCACCTAGCGTGGGGGGCAGCCCCCGAGCCCACGCTGTCGGTAACTGCTTCTAAAGAGAAGCCCGAAAGCACCTGACGGTCAGATCGAAGCGCACGGGGCCGGCCGGGGGCCTCGCGCAGGGCTGGCGTGGAGCGTGAGGTCAATGAGAAATGTTGCATATATGCTAGAGATTCGCGGGGAGCCCCCCCCAAGTGTGTCTCTCCCTGATAATAACGTTATTTTTGGCCGGGGGGGGTCTTAACAGTCGGCTACAGTCGCAATACCAGCAGCGTGTCCCCGCGAGGCTACGTCCCCAGCAGTACTCCCCAGCAGTCCAATTACAACACAGTCAGCACTAGCATGAATGGATATGGAAGTGGCGCCATGGCCAATCTAGGGGTCCCGGGCTCGCCTGGATTTCTTAATGGCTCTTCCGCCAACTCTCCCTACGGCAGTAAGTGTCTGTTTTTGTCACACGTCATCACGTAGATTCGTGTTCACTACCAGGTCAAATGTGTGCATTGCTTGGCTGTTCTGTGATGTGAGCTGCTGGGTCAAAGGGAGGGTGGCTCTGGAGGCTGGGGTCCGTGTGGCGACGGTAAACTGACCTGCGGTGGGCCCCCCGCGAGGCCACGTCGGAAACCTGCACAAAATGGGGCCGCCCGATTGGAAACGAGAGGCCAACACAGAGTTTGCCTGTTGTCCAGAGAGCGGCCGAGCCGGCAGCCTGTCATGATTGTCTTGTCGCCCCGACGCTCCAGGCGCGGCCCTAAGAGCTCTCTGTGTCGTGTTGCCGCGCCCCGCGCCGCGCGTCCTGACCGTCTGTGCTTTGTTGCAGTAGTACCGTCCAGCCCCACCATGGCAGCCTCTTCGGTCACCCTCCCTTCAAACTGTAGCGGCACACACAGCATTTTCTCATTCTCACCTGCCAATGTCATCTCTGCAGTGAAACAAAAGAGCGCCTTCGCGCCCGTGGTCCGGCCCCAAGCTTCTCCTCCTCCCTCCTGCACCAGCGCCAACGGGAACGGACTCCAAGGTGAGGGGTGGCGTCCTGGCCCCCGGGCCCCCCGAGTGCCGCCGGCGGAACTCTCCCCCGAGGGCGGGCCAGGCCGGGCGCGGGGCGGGAGCCCCAGCCCTTCCTCGGGGTCCTTGCCCCGCCGTGGCCGCTGCATGCTCCCCGTTGCTGGGCCGCGATGTGAGCCCCCCCCCCGGCCCGGTATCCACGTGAACGAGCCCCCTTCGCTCACCCTCAACCGGTAACAGACTCTCGGTGGTGGAAACCATTGCGTCCTGCTTCCAACCTCACCCACGTGCCCTCCTGGCGAAGCGGCCCCTCCCCGCAGGAAGGGGAAGCACCGGGGAGCCGTGCGAATGCAGCGGGGGGACCGGGGGGGGGGGCCCTGTTCCAGCCACTCAGCAGACAGGCCTTCAGGGCCGCGGCTCGCCCAGTGAGAGCAGGGTGCACCCCCCCGTAGCGCCTGTGCTCGCAGCCCCCTTGCTCGCTCGCAGCAAAGTAGCCTCGGGACGGGGATGGCGGGTCATCGTGTCACCTGCGGAGCCCAGCCCCAAGCCAGCGTGCTCTCCATGTCCCGAGACGGAGTCTGCCTTCTCCACCTGGTATAGCAGACCCTGGGCCGCCAGGCTGTGCTGTCCTCGGAAAGGGGTGCACCCAGACCAGGGCCGTGCATGCGTGAACAGCGGGTGGGAGTCGGTTTCTCTAAGTCCTCTCCTGCACACACTCAGGAGGGAGCAGGGCTGGCCCCCAGGGCAGGGGGAGGCGCCCCGTGGACACGGCTGCCCACAGACGGGGCCACGTGGAGCAGGCACCCCGTGCCTGCCCAGGGCTGGGTCCCCCTGGGCAGCGTAGGCCGCACCGTGGCCCGTGAGGTGTGCGGCGGGTGGGCCACGTGAGTGCCCCTAGGCCTCGTGATCTTCCGCGTGGCTCTGTGACTCACGGGGGCCACAGGCGCTGAATTAAGTGGCCGTCATCTGGCCTCTTTCAGAACCACCTTTGGTATATGCTCCTCCCGGTGAAAATCAAATCCAGTTACTCCTTTAAAAAAATGAATCCATTCAACCAGTATTTACTGAGCACCTACTATGTACCAGGCTCTCTGCTGGGTGCTGAGGACGTTACCGTGGAGAAGACAAACTGGCCCTTTTGTGAAGTTGGTGGCATATTTCACTTTGATGAACTAATGCTCAAAAAAGGAACTGGAAAGGTATCCGTGATTTGAAATAATTGTCTTCCCAACATCTTAGTGTATGAGAGGGACGCCCAGGCCCCGTGTGCCGCCGACCGGCCTGCGGGCCCGCCCCCGCGGCCCCCAGCCCAGAGCTGCTTGCGGGCCCGGTGGTGGCCAGGTGCCACGGCCCGGCCACCGTCCGCACGGCGCGGAGGCCCACGGGAGCACGGTGCCGCCTGGGCAGCGTGTACCCACGCGGGTCTGCCAAAACCATAACGTTGTAACGGTGAGTCGGAGAGGAGTTAAGACTGTTGGAATTAATGAACTGGGAAATTGAAGCTCACATCACTACGTGAACAAACGTATGAATATGTTCTACATCAATTAATGAGAATGATCATTCTGACAAAAATTAAACAACACTAAAGTTAAAAGATTTTAAATTATATTCATACCAGGAGTTCACTGGAAAGCGTCCGCTGCGCTTGGCGTTTTAGCACCAAGTTTCTTATTCCGAGAGGGGCGGAAAGAGCGCCCCGAGGCGGGGCTGTGACTGGGGTCTCTTCGGGGCCTTGGCCTTGAGAGGGCAGGGCAGCTGGGCTGTGAGCGGCTTTGCTCCTGGAGAGCCCGTGACTCACCATTACGATACGGAACAATCAGAAGAAGGTCAGAGGCAAGGGCTGAGAGCAGAGGGGGAAACTGAGGCACATCCAGTTTTCACGGAGGGAGTGAGCACGGCGCCCGGGTCCCACCGGGCCTGCGGGCCGGCCCCGGCTGGCGTCACAGGCGTGACCAGGTTGGTTCACATCTGTCCACAGAGGTGGCCTCTGGGGAGTCTGGGCCTCCGTCTGCTATAAACAAGCCACCGAGACCTGTGGGAGGCGGCAGCCTTCTGCGCACGATGGCCAGAGCCGTTCCCTTCCAGAGGAAGTCTCTGAGGAGGGCTGCAGCGTGAGAGGTCGTGGGGGGGGGGGTTGTCCCCACACGTACCCGGGTCCCATGAGGTAGAGGCCCACCCCCCCGCCCCCCCGCGCCTTGACCAAGCCCACGGCTGGTTAGTGGGCGCGGCGCACGCCCCACGTCACCGTTGAGTCAAGCCCCAGGTGAAGGCCGCCCGGCCCGCGAGAGGGGCGGCCCAGTAACCTGCTGCGCTCTCTCTTTCAGCTATGTCTGGGCTGGTAGTCCCGCCGATGTGAGGGGCTCGCCTTCCCTCCCGCAGCACCCAGCACCCAAGGACGGACTTCAGGGGACACGTTTAGTATATATGAGCTGCTGCTGAAGCCCTTGTCTGCAAACACATCAGCCGCGGTGGAAATGCTACAAGAGACTTTGTTTAAAGATTTTATTTAAACTATTAAGAATCAACATGCAAACAGCCTACTTCTTCATGAACAATTCCATTTTATTGACTGAACTTTTCTCATATTTTCACATTTCTCAGTCCTGAAGACTAAGGAAAACAAAGCGACGCCTATTTTGTATAAAGTTTCTGACTCCGTCTTCGCTATGTCTAGTACTTGCTATGTGTTGGGAGAAACTTTGTGAATGCACCATTTTGATTATCATGAAACACTGATGAAAAATGCCTCCAAACATTTTTCTGTGCTCATACTTAGATTCACAATGGTTGTGTATCTCTATAATGTGAAATATTTTTTTGTGGTGAAAAAAAAAAGGGGCCAAGGAGGTGTGAGCCATCGAACTGGAAGAAAGGAGGACTACGTGACTAGGAGAATTCGGGGTGGCAGGGAGGGAGGGTGGGTTTATCATTGCTTAACTTCATCTTAATGAAATGAAACTTTGTAACTTATTGTAGTTAGAAATTGTAACTTTGATATTGAATTCTCTTGCCTTCAACAAGCACACTGACAGAAAAAAAAATATGCTACTGTCTGTTGGTTAAAATATTCTCCCACTGCTAGAGCTTCCTGTTAAGCAAGTGTGATCTGCAACATTTTTTCAACTTTTGCTAGCACTGTATACTATTGCATTCTTAGGCTACTGTGAGGTCCATGTTTCTTGTACCAGAAATTGTCCTTTTGACTTCTAGCTCCTTCTTCCCTAATGTGTTTTGTATGTGGTTATAAAATTGTAGACTTTTGTGATTTTGCCAAAGTTGTAGCTAAATATTTATACACTTGTCTTGAATTTTTTTCAGATCCACTTAAATATTTAGAAAAAAAACAAAACACGTTTTCTTCCTTATGTGTCTCATAAGGAATAAAATGGTCTCCATTCAACACTTTTCCATGAACACCTACAGTTGCTAAGGGACTTTCTTTTGTAACATATCGATTATAAATATTGTATTTATCTTTGAAATTTTGTACATTGCTTTTCCTGCCATTTCCTTTTTCTTGTCTGTATTGGTTTTGGATCATGGCCTGGTGTTGGGAAGAGCATTAAGCCCAGAGCTGTCTCTTTGACCTGTTTTGTTAAAGCGAACCAGTGTCCTTGCATTTCAGTTGTACTTCAAAGATTTGCTTTTGTTTAGACTTTCCATCCTTCTTTTCCCTTTTTTTTTTTATTTTGAGGAAAAGTCAAATTCATTGTTTATTTTTATATTATTTTTAAGTTATCTGAACAAATACTTTTGAAAAAAAGTTCGTTGTATAGTCAAAACAAAACGGTGCCACTCAGCTGTGACAAATCCTAGTAGATTCTGTGCATGTGGAACAACAGCAACGAAGAGGGGACACCGTTTGGGGCTGTGTCCTTATTTTTCTGTAGAATGTAAAAAGTCATTTTAGCTGCCACCCATGACTTTGCCACATAGCTGAACTGTGTTTACTGGAAAAATTCAGAGGCCTAAAGTTTAAAATAAAATTTACTTCTGATGTTTTAATTAAAATGTTTGCCACATTAACTTCTCTGATGCCTTAAAAGTGGACTTCTTTAAAGAACCTTTGTGCTATTTTATCACAGGCTCATGACACAATTGTTAATCGATATTTCATTTGGAGATTTACGGTGTAACACACACACACACACACAAACAAAAGCACAAACCTGGTGTTCCATGTGTCGCTCCTTTCTGCGTCTGATTCTGCTGCGTTGTGTGTCCTCCCGGGCCCACCTAGGATTCAGAGAGGTTTCAGGGAGAACCAAAATCACCGCTGGTTTTTAACCTTTTTTTTTTAAACAATACTTTTTTTGTGGTCAGACCCAACAGCACCATCTGTACTTTTTAAACCGGAATGACCTCCTTCAGATCCTGTGCCTGTTCGTGCCAAACCCACAGTGAGACCAGGAGGGTCAGTCTTTCCCCTTTGTGTTAAATGCTTTGCAGACACAGCACAGCAAATGTTTTGCAAATTGCAGCAGAAATCAGATTTAAAACAAAAAGGAGGGACTTTAAAAAACTTTCTTCACAAAAAAGAAAAAACAAAAAACAAAACCATGCACAACTTAGGAAAGTGTTCATCCAAGGGACTACATAAAAGAAGCAGAATGTTCCCGGTGGTCAGGTGGGTCGCAGTCTGGCCCTTTGACCGCTAAGGCTTAGCTACGTGGGAAAGCCTGAGAAGTCACTTTGGAACTAAATTGCCTCCGTTTTATTTTGTATAAGTAAGGGTTTGATCTAAAAACAAGCTCACGTGTACATGTTAAGAACGTTTGCAAGTTTCCTCATCCCTGCACTCGGTTTGTGTTTTAGATTAATTAGTCAATGCCCCTCATCGCTTCATTGTCTCAAAATTGAGCGCTTCACTAAATGGTAGATTTTACTGTTAAAGACCCTACAATAAGATTGTTTTATCTGTACATTTTTTCAGATATTTAACTGTATAAAAATGTTCATTTTACACAATATTTAATTAAAGTATTTCTCGTCTGTGAATTTCACTTTGGGTAATTTTATCTGTTTTGATTACAACGAGTGGCAAAACGCGGGCACAAGTTACACTGGGTTGGTGTGGGGGGGGGGTGGTGGTCCTTTGCACACCCTGGGCCCCAGGGCTGTATCTTGGCCAAGAGACAATAATTCATGGAAGAACCTTTCTACGAAGTTCTCAGTCCTCGAACGGCTCTTCTAGCCGGCATAGAGCACTTCTTACAGTTCCTGGGATGGCCCGGGGCCCAGAGGGGCCGTCTGTACGCAGGCTGCCCTCAAGCAGCTGTACACGACTGTGTGTGGGACACGCAGGCCACAGCAGCACCGTGGCGCTTAACCAGCCACGAGCTCCCCCACCCCCGGCGCTCCCGCCACTGCTTCCAAACTGGGGGGCTCGCCAGGTCGAGAGCAAGTGCTCGGGCCGCGTCACACACCCACTCCTCCCACCGTCCCCACCCAGCGCACTGGGGCGAGAAGCAGCGTCAGGCTCCGGGCAGGCGGGCGGACACCAGGGGCCCAGACGGTGGTGCCGGCTGGCGTCTGACATGGGGCATGGCATCACCAACCCCGGGCCCACGGCAGTGGCAACCCAGACCCTCTGAGCCGCCTCCGCGCTCTGCCTGGGGCGGGGGGGCAGGGGTGGTGGGCAGCGTGGTGGTGCGGCCAAAGGCACCAAAGCTCATGAGAGCTGCCCTCAGCACTGGGGTTCTAATTTACACAAGCAAGCTCAGCTCCTGCGGATTCTCGGCATGCCCCTTCCAGCTCATTCTGGATTTTTCACTCTCTCCTCAATGAAAGGCTGGTTTTGCATGTTTTGGCTTGCAGCTCTGTAACACATACACATAAGTGTGATCCAAATTAGTACTCACAAATGTCATCTTAATTACTTGTTCTGCTGAGCAAAACAGGAAACAATTATTCAAAACATAAAGAAACTTGTGAATACCTTTTTCTCCTGTCAATGGCAATCAGGTTCCTTTGGCTGCATTTTTGTCTCAGCCTTAAAGAGATAGCAAAGGAAAAAAGAGGCTCTCAGGGTACAAGGCTGCTGGCTGCCCACCCTCCCGCCCATCCCCCCCGGGGTCCTCCCCGAGCTGCTGGTGGGGGGGGCCCGCTGGGGACCAAAGTCCCCTCCTTCCCCACTTGAAGATGGTGCCAGAAGTACCAGCCTGGGCAGCGGGGGGGGGGCTCCCCGGAGCTGGCTCACCAGGGTCCTACAACCTGGGGAGAAATTGTTTCATGTTTGTGTTTCGAATCAGAAGCAAGAACTGCATTCTCTCCAAATGTATGCCAATTATTGTCAGGCTGCCTTTTAAGGTCTTTCAAGCTTTTAAAGATTATTCAAAGCACTTGAAATGGGCTTCCATCTAATGCCTCATTTCATTGCATTAAACAGCCTAGTTAATAAAGAATCGATATATTCAAAGGGCAAGGTTATCTTTTGTCTATAAGGGGTGGTGTCATTCTGAACCTTTTATAGTTCAAATGCTGAAAAAGACCTCATGAAATCCATACTCATCAAGTGGGTCACTGAGAGCAATAAAGAGGGAAAGGGGAGGGAGCTGAAAGGGAAGAAAGGCTGTTCTCCTTTAAAACAACTCAGCCTTATCTCCTCGCTGGGAGCACCCAAAGAGGTCCTCCGAAAATGTCAATTTCTCATCAAGACAAGAGGCCACGGTGATCATTTTTTCCAGAGAATACATACAATTAAGAGAATGCAGAGGGGCAGCTGTGGCAGCGATTTGTAGCTGCTTCTGTCCCCACGAGCTGCGAGCTCCCTCCCAGCAGATAATAAGAGTTGTTGATAACTCAAGTGTCAATATGCCAAAGAGCGAGTTTTGAATGTGAGTCCTTGTGCTCTGAGCGCGCCCGGCCGATCCCAGGCCCTGATAAGGGCCCAGCTGCCAACGGACACCACAGGTTGGCCCTCACAATTAATGCGATGAATAAATCACACAAAAGAGTCAGGAGGCTTTATACTCAGTGAGACAATCCCCTGTTTTACCCTTCAAGGATTCCTTTTATGTTGGAATAAGGTTGCTTTTAATGAAATTTAAACTCATCAGAGGAAATCAAAAACCTCCAATCAGATTACAAATTGATTTTTTGGTCATTTGTCATTTCCCAGTTTCACAGAGAGCAAGTTGCCAGTCTGGTGCTGGGAGCCAGTGTGCACACGGCTCCCAGCCCCTGACGCGCATGCAGACTCAGACACGGTTTTGACTCTCCCCCCGCCACCCCGCCCTGGCCTGGCAAAGTGAACCCATCACACAAATGGGTACCATTCAGCTCGGGACCCAGCTGTGGCATGACCTGGGGACGTCCATGGTCCTTGGTAGAACTCACAGGGATGGTGAGGTCCGCACTCACGATCCACAGATGGCCAACAGAGACACGTTCTCTTGGAACTGCAGTAAGTTTTGGTTCATACCCACCCACGTCCTGAATCGGCTCTGTGCCACACCCGCGGGGGCCATGGGGAACATCCGGGCCTCATACACCGCAGCTTGTGATCTGGGGCGAAGAGGAAACACGGCCAACTCTTACTCAGCCCAAACACTGGCTCCTGGGCAAGACTGCCCTTTCTCCCAGGCCAGCTGAGGGGGCCTTCCCTGTGTGCCCACCAAACCTGGGAGCTTCCCAAGGCCACCAGTTGCTGGCCTCCCAGGGTTCTCCCGTCCTACCCTGGGTGGACTCTGAGCTTCTTGAAGACAAGACACAGCCATGCCTTCCTCAGCTTCTCGTCCTACACTGGGACTCCCAGCCCAGGTCACAAGGCACAGCCCAGGGCAAGATCAGGGTAGGCACTATTTCAGGAGGAGAGTGAACATCATTCCCGATTCAAGAATCCTTGGAGACTACCTTTTAAAACATAAGCTCTAAAGTGAGTTGAGCAGCCCACGCATTTCTGAAGAGCAAACAAGCACCACACCCCATGCACACTTGCCATGGGGGGGTTTGCAGGTCATTTTAGCAGTCCCACGGAGCCCGTTCCTCCTCGTAGGTGACCAAACTGCCATTCAGAGAGGCTACATGGCCAGCCCGAAGTCACAGGGCTGGAAGGCCCAGGGCTAGAGGCTAAATGAAGTCTCTAATCTCCCAATCTTGCCCTTCCCACTGACTTGGGTTTCAGATACCTTGGGCAGGGGAGGGGGATGCTGAGAGAGTGAGAGAGAGACTGACCCTGTGGATGGAAGGAGAACCACCACACCTCCCTGGGAAGGTTCCAAGCAAGCTCAGGGAGGACACATGCCGCCCCCAGGGCTTGACTCAGCCAGACCATGAGAGGGAAACTGGCTTGTGCAGCCATCGTCAGCTGAAGCCCTGCGCGGCCTTGCTTCTGGACACAACCAATGTCACGGGACCATGATTCCAAAACTGAAGGCAGAGAGGCTCCTCCCCAGGGCCTTTGCAACAAATGAGGGGGCCTCAAAGGAGCTGTTTCCCTCGTGCTTCTCCACCAGCATCCTCGGGTCACCATGTGGTCCGCATGGGGCCGGGGAGAACAGGATGCCCATGCACACGGGGCGCCCCTGGAGTGCACCTGGCGTCTGCAGTGAAAGCTGAGTGTGGGAGCCCTTCACATGGTGCAGGGATGGGGCAGGAAGGGGCACTGAGGCAGTACCAGAGGGACGGGGCTGTGAGGCCTGCGCCACCGGCCAACGCCCCAGCCCCAGGCCGGGCTCTGCCAAGGCTTCTGTCATGGCCAGCAGAGGGGCAGGGTGAGGGAGAAAGCGAGGAAAAGAAGATCACCAGTGGTTTGGCTAGCAGGATCAGAATGAGCAACCACAAAGTCAGAGGTGTCGGCCGGAAAAGAACAGAAGCGTCAGAGGGGAACTCGGGCATCCCGGGCATTTGCCCGCTGCCCCATCAGACCTCTCCCACCACCGCGCTGAAGGCTACAGACAGCCCCCTCAACTGACAGGGCAGGGTGCCTAGCTGAGCGCAACTTGCATTTCCAGCTACCAGAGACAAGCCCTGCACCATTACTGCGGACAGCAGAACCTGGGCTGGGCCTGGGGCCACCGGGAGAGACAGAAAGAAACTTGCAACAATGACAACAAAGGGTTTATATCTCAATATACAATGAGCTTTTGCAAATCAATAAGACCAGATACCCTGAAGAAAAACAGGCAAATTCACAGTCAATTCACAACGGAACAAGTGATTGATAAGTTTAGGAAAATATATTCAACCTTACTTAAAAATGCACATCAAAATAATGAGATGAAATTTTTTTCATCTATTAAATTAGAAAAGATTTTACTTAAAAGCTAATACTCAATCCTGTTGATGGAGAAATGGGCATTCTTAGAGTTGTCGATAGAAGAGTAAATTGGTAAAGCCTTCTGGAAATCAATTTGACATTATATCAAGAGACTTAACAATGTTCATATCCTTTGACCCACTAATTCCACTTTGAGGAATCAATCTTAAGGAAATAATCAGAGATTAGGCAAGATTCAAGTACAAGACTGTTCGCTGCAGTAATATGTATTTAAAAAACTGGAAAGAACCCAAATACCGGAAAATAGGAATTGTTAATTGAATTACGGTATAGCCATATAATAGAATATTATATATTCTACTAAGCCATTAAGATCATGCTTTTAAAGTATATTTAATAAAATGGTAAATACTAATGATATAAATTTAAGGTGAGGCAGGCACATAACACTGGGTATATAAGATAATTCAAAATTATAAGTTTCTCTGTCAAGAGAAGGCAAGAAAAATAAATATATAATATATATAATATTATAGAATAATATATACTTGGAAAAAATAGTAGAATGACAGTGGGATCACTACATGGTGTGTCTGGGAGGTGGAAGCTTCTAGAGGACACCCAGAGGTAGCGGGGTGCTGGTGCTGCAGGGTCATGGAGACTGACGTGGGCAGTCATTCGGGGCTCAGACAGGGCGGATCGGGGAGCCCAGGGCCATGGGGCCCCAGGGAGGCAGAGCCCAAGGGAGAGGCTACTGTGGAGTGCAGCGTCCTTGAGGCCTGA